ATAAACACTTCTACAATAAATTTAATGAAACTAACACTTTTGAGCACCCAATACTGAATGACAAAGATCACAATATTTATGCTATCCAAGTTTGTTCAAGAACATCCATATAATTTCCCCTTAAGGATGATCTATAAAATAACTTCCGAGAGTCTTCCTTCATGCATGGATGTATCTGTTGAGTTAACATATGCTCACTTGACTTTAAATCATGTGGGAACAGACGTACATTGAAATTGCCAGATCAGATCAGTCCATCTCTTCCATTTACCTATCAGATGGGCCAGTTTCAGATATTTCCGGGGGAAATGCAAAAAACAAAACAAAACACCTCTCCCCCCGCAAAAAAACAAAACAAAAAAAACAAAAACAAAAAAACAACAACAACAACTGGTAGTGGAAAACGATGCACTAACATACCCATAGGATTTTTTTTCTAATGCCCAACAGATATTCTCCGAAGCACAAGTTATATACTTTAACTATTGTTACCCTATCTAAATAACTCCTTATACATCTAGGGCTAGATTGAGGCTTTTAATCACATCATCTCAGCAGGGGAATACTCACTCTCAGTGGTGAGGAGTGAGCAATCTGTTCTATCAATTAGGATGGAGCAAATTGTTCTCCCATACCTGCCCTGATCTTCAGGCCAATGCAAAGGTGGTGGGGGGGAGAAACAGTCATCCTGCCTTATTCTCCACTCAACTTGACCTCCTTTTTGGCACTTTGTTCTTCAGAGAGAATAGGAATGAGCAGTTTTTGTGCTCCTGTCAGTACACAGGATTGCTACTGTATTTATTACTATGACATTATATTACATTACAATATGTTATATGAAAGTTGATGGGAGTTAGACACCTAACTCACAAAGATAATTTTGTGAATCCCACTAGAGACCTAGCTACATCTTTAAACTTCTAAATACCTTTGTAAACTTGGCTTTTGGTTTCAAAGATATTTTGTGGCAATGAGTTCCACACATTGTGTACAAACACTTGTGTGTGAACTGCCTTCGATTTTTATAGGATTTAAAGGAAGCTACGTTTTTGGCTAGGTCTACACTATGGGGGGGGGGTCGACCTAAGATACGCAACTTCAGCTACGTGAATAGCGTAGCTGAAGTTGCGTATTTTAGGTCGACTTACCTGGCTGTGAGGATGGCGGCGAGTCGACCACTGCCGCTCCACCATCGACTCCGCTTCCGCCTCTTGCTGCGGTGGATTTCCGGAGTCGACAGCAGAGCGATCAGAGATCAATTTTATCACATCTTCACTAGATGCGATAAATCGATCCCCAATAGATCCGGCGGGTAGTGAAGACGTGCCCTTTGTGCCTATAACAAAAAAGTTATACAAATTCTAGTATTAACATGTGATTGATCTTTATATGAACACAGCATTCTTCCCTGATATCCTTTCTAATTATGCCAACTAAATTATGCCCATTTATCTGAAAAGTTTAATGTGCCTCCCTATGTTTTTTGTTGCAAGTTATAATTTGTATACTGATATGACAAACTTGGCGTTAAGATGGGAGTATTAAAGGTGAGAATAAAATGAAAAAATGAAAAACTGCAAAAAAATATTTCTATCCATCCTCTTAATAGTGTTAGAGGAATAAATGGAAGTGATATTATTAGAAACGGCCAATTAGAAACTAGTACATCAGAGATTTGACTATTTTAGATTGTAATATATGGCAAGACAATATCATTTGTTACTTCTTGTTTCCTTTAATTGGGTTCTGTATTTTACTTGTTTCCCTGTATACTGGATAAATAAAATGACAACATCAGTTTTAATAAACCAAAATAAATCTGCAAAGACTAAAGTTTTTATTTTTAAATGAATTAGACTGGGAGTCTGTTTTTGTATAAGACAATTAGCTATATATTGTACTTTAGTTTAATTGCACGGAATTAAACAGTTGAAAAACAATCTAGATAATTTTCTTGGACAGACACGACCTCAAAGGATGACAAGCTACAAGTCATTTAAACCACACATAGTTTCTTCAAAGCTTGTTTACCATATATTGTATGTTAACAGAGAAAGGGTAGAAAGGAATGGCAATATTGGATAGCTACTAAAGAAAGCTCTACACCAGCTTGTTTCTTTATTTTTTAACCAAAATGCTCTTGTATGTCCTAAGCATCTAATAAAACAGTGACACTTAAGGCTATGTTAAAAACAGTTGATGAGCTAATTAACTAACCATGGCTGTTGGTATAATTAAGATCCTCAGATCCTATTCCAAAAACACCAGCTACTATAACTAGAATATCTAGCAACCACTGTAGCTATGATAATTGGAAAAGGCTTGGTTGAATTATTAAAGACTACAGAAAGTCAATAAAATTCACTTTGATGAGACAGAACAAATATTTTCTGCAGGAAAATGCCAAAAAGATAGAATAAGGTTGGAGCCAAGGAAGGAGGTGACTAACAAGGCAAATATAACCATCTGAATAGATCATTTTAATGTTAGTCACAGTGTGAATGAACATAATTATATGCCTCTTTTCTGTGTTCATGTTTTTCTCTTTCAACTGCAAATCTACTCAACTGTCATGTGTAGTTCTCAAGATGTTACTAATACTTTGTGTGGTAACAGATTATTCTGCCAATCTGTGGGCTTTGTAAATGACATAACCTAGCAGTTCAAAAGTACCAAAGCTCGAGGATGTGTAAGGGTTTTAATATGGCCAGATTGGAGCATTTTTTCTCTTTACAGTTTTTAAGGAATAAATGGATACAAAGAGAAATTGAAACTGATTTTAAAATATTTTGATAGGCTAAATGAAATTGAGATATACTGCGCTCTAATTGCTTGCACCTGTATGTCTGTTTATGTGGAAGAGCAATTAAATGACTAAAAGACCTTGTAGATCAAACTAACAAGTGGTTTGGAACTAGAAAAGATAATTGTTTCTACCTACTAATTTAGAGGCTGATTCAAATTAGTGCTGAGCATCTACAACTCCCATTGAAGTCAATGGGAGTTTCAGATATAGAACACCTCCCAGGAATAGACTTAGGGACCAGTCCATCAGTCCTTACTCAGGCAAAACACCTATAGAAGTCAAGAAATGAGAAAAGCTCACAGAATTTAGCCCTTGGTTTACCTGAAACCTTTCACTCTGTTCCAAACAATTAGATATCACTTTCCTTATGTGAAGGAGGTAATAGATATAAATATTTATTTCAAATCACCTATCTCAAATTCTGTACTGGTACAATACACTATAACATACAACACTAAAATATAATCATTGTATCATATAGCATGACCCCAAAAGCACCCCAACATCTCCCAGACTACCCCAGGAATCCACCTACCATAAAATACTGGCCTCCCCCATCAATTATTTCAAATCCATCAAACGATCTATCAGGAAAAGCCCAAGGAAAAAGTGGACACTTGCAGTTTGGATTTCCATCTAAGCCCTTATAACAAGATCATCACCAGGGCCTGAAGGGCATCAAGGACACAATTAGTAAGGCAGTGGTGAGTGCAGTCCAGAGCATGGAACCCCTTATGAGAAACATCCTTCCACTAGCCACCTTCTTTGTACACTGGGAGCTGCTAGAGCACCACTTCTGATCACATCAGTGAGGCAAGAGATGCCATACAAATTGTTTATGGCTGTATATGTGAAAACCAACACCTTAAACCCCACCCAGATACAAAACAGAAGCCAGTGCCCTACTGACTACAGAGCAGTGGTGTGACGTGCTCTCACTAATGTGCTCTCTCTCTATATATTAATTCCTATTCAATAATTGTTGAATTCTGCCTCAACTGTTCACACTAAGAAGTATTTTACTCTGTAAGCAGCCCCTTGCAGAGTCAGATTCTTCTCAGCTTGAATTATGGTGGCAGAGTCATGTTCTAAATGGGCAGCCACATTAAACATAACTGGATACAATTTCAAATAGGGATTAATGGTCAGTAGAATACACAGAGCCAACATCAGGGACTTGTGACATTGAGGAGAATAAAGCAAACAGGAAAAACAAAATATATTAGCACTATAAAGAACACTTCATCCAAGTAGTATCAATGAAACTCACAAACTGACCCCACCAACTCTATCACCACGATCATTCTATTTCTATTCATAGAACCTGAATTCATTATGGTCCCCCACTAATTGGGAGGACTATCTGGAATATATAGTGTGGGAAACATAGCAAACTGAGGTGGAAGATAGAAATGGGCCATTCTGTGCCATCTTTCCACTAGAGGTGGAGGAAAAATGGTATATATTTTCTGCACAAATTTCTAAACAAAATAAAAAACAAATAATTTTCTGTGGAATTTTGGGGGATTTTCAAAACGGGGGCTGGATTTCTTTGTCCTACTGTCCTCTGAAAGAAAGAAGTCCTGAGATGAATGGGAAATGTCACTTTTGATAACCTAAGAATCAAGGAAATGGTATATAATTAAAAAGAAAAATTCTGTATCTTTATATTTAAACTAGTGATTCTGATATATAACAAAACTTGTTTATTACTATGTCCTCACCTTGGATATTGTATTCATTTGGGGTCACTCTATCTCAGAAAAGATTCAACAGAAATAAAAGAACCCGAGAGGTGGGTGATGCAAATGACTAGGGACATCAAGGGACCTCTGTATAGAGATTTTCAAAATACTGTGACTGTTCAATTCAGAGAAAAGACAAATAAGATGGGACATGATAGAGGTATGGAAAATAATGAATGTTACAGGCAAAGCCAAACGTTCTCCTATTTGCTTTTTCCTTATATCAAAGGTAAATGTCACTAACCCCATTTCACAGATTGAGCAATAGAGACTCAGCGGTGGTAAGTGACATGCCCAAGGTCACAAAGCAAGTCTGTGCTAGCAGCAAGATTAATGCAGTGTTTATGGCTCCCACTCCCATGCCTAATTCACTAGACCACACTTTTTGCCAACTGTCTCACCCATATAGTGGGGATTTCACCTCACCCAAAAGGAGTTCCTGAACTGACCTCACACAGATGATGATGATTCATTGCCTGCATCATATGGCTAGAAAGCGTTATCTGGAAAGGCAAGAAGCAAGTGCACATTAAATGTCTAATAGGTAACAGTCTGAAGCACTCTGGCCCAATCCCTTAGCCACAACACTGATGAAATGGAAAGTATGTGGAAACATAATGTATGTCTATGCTTCATGTTTTCACAGGGGCAACTGTAGAAGTTTCAACAGCCTCAGGGAATCCCACACAGGGTCGCCGAGAGCAAAAGTTTGCGTCCGATTCTTTTCTCACTGTTTTGTAAATTGGGAGGTAACTCCATTGACATCAGTTTCACCATATACCGTTGTATAACAAGTGCCAATGAGATGTGAAGCAGGACAATCATGTACAAATTCTCAGGTGCTTTCATAGCTAAGATATATTCAGGACTTCAGTTAAAGCCTCCTGATTTTCAAAGTTTATAATTTGGCTGTAAAAATGTTATGCTGTGCTGAAACTTGGAATATAAAGTCTTATGCTGGAAGTGATTTTTGTTGCACAATTTAAACAAAATCTGTTCAGCTGTCTGAAGACACAGAAATGCAAGTGAAGAAAAAGTGGTTATCAGATACTGGCACTTTTTCTGCTTGTATAATTCAAAAAAGATTCAGTTAAGAAAATTGAACTTGACAAGCAATTAACATCATGTTCCACACTTGCTCTGTTCAGCAATGCCTCATCACTATTTTCTACTTTATAAAGTGAAAATAACAGACTATATCAGGGTGGCAGGGCCCTTTTGTTTGCTCACCCTATTGGCAATCGTTAGAATCATGAAAAAAGCTGCTGAAGTTCTGCTTACTTTTGGTGGCTGAGTCTACTCCTGAACTTAACCAGAGAGATGGGAGTGGTCCCTAAGCAGGAGGACAGAGCAGATGCTGGAGGAAAATGCTTGGGACAGCGAGCTCAGGGGATAAAGCTCTGGTTGGGGTTTATGCTGTCTGATTGGTTTTTGTTATTAGTTACTGATAAAGCCATGCCTAATAAGGGGGCATGTTAGAAAACTACCTCAGGGTTTTCATGTTCTCTTTAGAACCACAGTGTGAAATGTTAGAAAGTTCCCAGTGCACTGGATCACATTTCAAAATGTGGTACGTTTCAGAAGGAATTTTGTTACATGAAGCTGTATGCTTTCATCTGATTGTAAATCACAAGGGGCCACAGCCTGTAGTAAGGCACAAAGTGCAGAGCCACAGTACCCCAATGGATCACTGAAGGTATTCTGCCTCAAAGAGCTCAGAGCTCCCCAGTTGCCATTGGGAGAATGCAATCAGCACCACCCCCTTTAAAGGATGTGTATACTCTTTTGCTCTGGCTAACTCTTGCAGCGGACTGAGCATTGTTCCACCTACTCTCTACCATCTTTCGGACACATTCCTCCTTGAGCAGGAGAATCTGAGTAGCGACCCCTGTGCTATAATTCCATCATATCCTGGCACCGAGCATGCAACGGGAAAGAGGAAGGCTCCACTCCAACAGGTCACACAGGGGGAGGAGGCTCCTTAATCCCATGCAGCGGGGAAGGGGAGGGATGGCGGATTCTTGGTCTCACACATAAGAGTTGGCCACAAATGTATTTATATCTTTATTTTTATGTTATTTAGATTGTACAGAAGTAAAAATCTATTCCTGGGTTTTTTAAATTAAGTTATATGCTTTAAAAGTTCTTTAATTACAATAAATGCACATTAAAAACCTTCCTAAACATGTCTTTACTTAATATGACAAAATCAGTGGGGCCAGATTCCATGTCAAATCTATTTGGTTCGTTTGCTCACAGGACTATGTTTTTAACTAAATCTAGCTTGTGTTTAAAATAGTTAATATTGTGATAACAAGTTATGAAATAAAATGAACCTGAGACTTTTATCCCCAACCTCCTTTCCACTGTGATTTTTTTTAAAAAAGGCAAAAGGCAAAATTATAGCCTAAAAATATTTGTCATGATATAGTCTATCCTTGTTAAAATGCTGGAATACAGGCACACTAAGTAGTTGATGCTGCATTAAAAAGTAGTGAGTTATTGTGAAAACCGTGTGTGTGTGTGTGTGTGTGTGTGTGTTTTAAAAATCTTTGACAGAATCAAAAGAGACAGAGGATTTGAAATAGTCTGAAATTTGCGTTAGTTCACACTGAAGCTGACCACTCCACTCTCATTTAGTTACCCAGAACAATCACATTTCCCAGCAGAGTTTACTCATTTGCAAGATAAAAGAAAGACATTTCTGCACATGCCCATAATATTCTTCACCACTGGGGGCAGCTATACATAAGACTGCATCCACTGAAACCAAAGCAACAGTCGGAGGAGCTTTCAGAATGACAGTATGCAGAAGTGAACAGAGCTTGTTCATTGTACAGTGTTATTCTGTTATTCTGTGCTCCAAAGCAGCTTCATAGCTGGATCGGGTGCTAACTACAATAACTGCTGTACTATGGAATACAGATATGTGAATTCAGATAGCTAATTGTTGCTTGGAGGAATCTATCATGCTTTCACATAAAGAGAGATTTTAAAAGCCAGGTTTCTAACTGTAAAGATGCAAAACCGTAATATCCATGAAGATCCTATTACCTAGGAAGAATCTGACATTTTGCTGTGAATGGTGTGTTGGGATTTATTTATTCTTGGAGTGTTCTGCGTGGCTGGCAAAGAATAATGTTCCAAAATCAGTCCATCTCCCAAGGGGTCCAATTTTTCTTCCTGGGTGTCAGCAAGCCCTGACTCACAACAGTGCAGCTGACAGGGACTGTCATGCTTGTGGCACCCTAAGCAAAAACAAAAGACCTAAGGACGACCTTTGAACAACACAAAGGATGGGTATGTTTTTCATTTTTTTTTAAATATATAGCTTGTAGCTTCTGCATAGACCCTGTTTTAATTGTTCTATTGACTTATCTTGATATGATTTAGGATCATAGTTAAAATGTCTATTGATTTAATTTATTTAAACTATTTTACAATATTTATAAAGGCATTTTTTTAAATCTGAGTAAAAGAAAATAATGTGCAAAGTAGCTGTCAAGCTAGAAAATTTTTAAATGATTTTTAAAAGAAAGATTCTAAGCATGATTTTAAAAATGACTGATCTTTTGGGGGGATAAATTTTCTAAGTTGTTTTTATTTCCAGGTTTCAATGTAATTAGGCTACTGAGCGGATCAGCTGTAGCCCTGGTAATAGCCCCTACTGTATTACTGACAATGCTTTCTTCTGCTGAACGAGGATGCCCTAAGAGCTGTAGGTGTGAAGGAAAAATGGTATATTGTGAATCTCAGAAATTACAAGAGATACCCTTGACTATATCTGCTGGTTGTTTAGGCTTGTCTCTTCGCTATAACAGCCTCCAAAAACTAAAACATAATCAATTTAAAGGTCTAAATCAGCTCACCTGGCTGTATCTAGACCATAATCACATCAGCAATATTGACGAAAATGCTTTCAATGGAATACGCAGACTAAAAGAGTTGATCCTGAGTTCCAACAGAATCGCATATTTTCTTAATAATACCTTCAGACCTGTGACAAATCTCCGTAACTTGGATCTGTCATACAATCAGCTGCAGTCTCTGGGATCTGAACAGTTCAGGGGCTTAAGGAAGCTGCTGAGTTTACATTTGCGATCCAATTCCCTAAGAACCATCCCTGTTCGAATATTCCAAGATTGTAGGAACCTTGAACTTCTGGACCTGGGTTACAATCGCATCCGAAGTTTAGCAAGGAATGTCTTTGCAGGCATGATCAGGTTGAAGGAGCTTCACCTGGAGCACAATCAGTTTTCTAAGCTCAACCTGGCACTTTTTCCAAGACTTGTCAGCCTTCAAAACCTTTATTTACAGTGGAATAAAATCAGTGTGATAGGACAAACTATGTCCTGGACCTGGAGCTCATTACAAAGGCTTGATTTATCTGGCAATGAAATAGAAGCTTTCAGTGGACCTAGTGTTTTTCAGTGTGTGCCCAATTTACAGCGCCTCAACCTGGATTCAAACAAGCTCACATTTATTGGTCAAGAAATTTTGGATTCTTGGATATCCCTCAATGATATCAGCCTTGCTGGGAATATATGGGAATGCAGCAGAAACATTTGCTCTCTGGTAAACTGGCTAAAAAGTTTTAAAGGGCTGAGGGAAAATACAATTATCTGTGCCAGCCCCAAAGAGCTGCAAGGGGTGAATGTTATTGATGCAGTGAAAAACTACAGCATCTGTGGCAAAAGTACTACAGAGAGGTTTGAATTAGCAAGAGCTCCCCCAAAGCCAACATTTAAACCAAAACTCACCAGGCCTAAACATGACAGCAAGCCTCCTCTGCCCCCAACTATCGGAGCCACCGAATCCAGCTCAGAACTTGAGCACGACACAGAACACATCTCCTTTCATAAAATCATAGCAGGGAGTGTGGCCCTTTTTTTGTCCGTGCTTGTGATCCTGCTGGTAATCTATGTGTCATGGAAGCGTTACCCAGCCAGTATGAAGCAGCTGCAGCAACACTCTCTCATGCGAAGGCACAGGAAAAAAAAAGACAGTCACTGAAGCAAATGACTCCAACCACACAGGAATTTTATGTAGATTATAAACCTACCAACACTGAAACCAGTGAGATGTTGCTGAATGGAACAGGACCCTGCACGTATAACAAATCAGGCTCCAGGGAATGTGAGGTATGAACCATTGTGATAAAAAAGCTTTTAAAAGCTGGGAAATAGTGGTGCTTTATTGAACTCTAGTGACTATAAAGGGAACATGGGTTTTTTTCACTCTTTTGGCACAGCACTTCCATGTCACTTTTTGGGTACATTCATAATACTGGTCATTTTACTCTCATACATAATCAACTCATTGAAATTTAAATACCACAAATAATGTGAAGCTTCAGCTCTGATTTAATACAATATCTATTGTACAGACCATCTACTGATTTCATTAAAATCTCACTTGTTTTCAAATAGAAAACTTCTTTCATAACTAATCCACCACATCTGCAGTGAGTATGCCTCTGTTTGGGCAGAAAAATGACAACAAT